GCGCACACAATACACACAGTGCTGTTAATTATTTACTGGATCGCAGTTTGATTACAGTTTGGGTGATGACACCCAGAGACTTAAGAGCTGCATAAAACATGGTTATGTTCTACAGAGTCCCAGAATAAACCATCCTTTAAAAATTAATCTCTTAGAAATAAAGCATATTATTCAGCCATTTATCAGGATTATGGTAAGATGAGTGATGGGAGTTCTGCAGAAGTATTCATTTTTAATGCTGCCCTACCTTTGAAGAAACAGTCCTTGCTGTGGATAATGTAGATTTTCTTCCTCTGCAGACACGAGGCTCGATGCAGTTGACAGTGATTTTCATAAAACTTGCCATCAGATCCACACACGGGCATGTAGCTGGACTTGCAGTCTTCCACACACCTGCACTCGGGCTGCTTGGTGTCCTTGTTCACAACGCACTTGCTCCCCCGGCCGCAGTACTTCTTCTCGCATGATGCGTGCAGCCCATCCTCACCGTAAAGCACTGGCAAGAAGAGAAATAGTCAGTGTTAGCACTATTTACCTAACAGACCATGTTCGTCTGCTGTGGTGAGTGGAACAACAATTCCAAGAGCAGGAGCTAAAAGGTTTCCAAGGCTAAAAGCACATCTCTTTGAACAGCAGCACAACGGCAATCTGGAGTGTCTTCACATCTCCCAGCCCTGAGTCATCAAAATATCAGCCATGTGCTGAAAGCGCTTTCCTGAAAAGTGGTGGACACAAGGCCACCTGTGCTTTCAGGCAGTAAGACAGACAGTTACAGAGAAATAGCCCCCAAGAAGCATGGAAAGCAAAAGAGCCCCCCAAGAAAGAGCATCACTGAAGTCAAGGGAATATTATAGGAAAACACTTCTCAACATAAAAGTGACCATCAATGTTTATCCCTACACTCTGAAAACTGACATATAAAGAGAGAATTTATTTTAAAAATGCATTGGATAAAATATTCTTAATATTTCTGTACTATCTGCTTTTTGATACAATTGAAAGGCTGATGGAAGGGCCCCGGCACTACAACATTTTCTGTTTCTGAAGTTTCCCCACTTAATGGCTTACAACAGAGCATCACCATAATTCAGACAGGCCAGGGTACTTCCAGACAAGCCACTGCTCAGAGAAATGATTCGCATTATACTCAGTGAAGAGAGTTTCAGGAAATTAGATGATTCTATGCTAATTGGAGCACACAAAGTTGGGAATTACAAAGGGATGCTGCAAAAGGCGTAATTAAAGCAGGAATAAACACTCAGTAGCACACAGCAGCCTCCGGCTGTGCCCACACCAGTGGCTCAGTCTGGACCAGCAAGGCAGTTGTGAAGCAAACCCACTGCCTGGATTTACCACTTGTAACTTTGGGGAGGTTTTGGTGCGTGCTGTGTGCCCTGTGCTTCACGGTGCTCCAGGCGTGCTGCAGCATCCAACACGACAAGTCCTGCAGAGACCACAGCGCCCTCCAAAACACAGCCAGTGCTCGTCCCTTCAAAAGTTCTTCAAGGAGCAGAACTCTTTAACCTAGGAGAACAGAGCAAATCTTACCAAGACCTCCCCATTACAGGTAACAGATGAGAGGAGCATCAGCACTACCTACCTACTTCAACCTCCTGGCCCATTTTTATTGTGCAAAATTCCCTGCTAGCAGCCACACAGTCCCTGTTTGCCCACCCACTTCATGCCACTATGAAATGTCCCAGTGCCGAATCCACTTTTCACCTACTAGCAACCAAGAGGTTAAAGCACGTTCATAAAGACGAGCAAAAGTCTCTACAAAACCCCATTTGTCTCAGTTCCCCTTAAGCCTGTGTTTTTATCACTGTAAATCTGAAAGGGGAAAAAAAATTCTGGTGTTGGAGGATTAACTATTTGACTCAATAACTCATTAAAATTCCTCCAACCTTGGCAAGCTGAGAAATATTGACTTTTCCTGACTCATAATAAACTAGAAGGTCAAAGCACCTCTGACAAGTGTAAAAAGTACAGTCCCTGGAAGGAGTATCTGAATATGCTTTATTTAATTTACTTATTGTTCCAGAGTTTCTGAAAACCATCCTGAAGAATACAAATGTTGTGACTTCGGGGAGCCCTCACTGCCAAGGTCAGCTGCACGCCCTGCCCCTGCTGAGATGAGAACAGCACGAGGGCCTGGGGCTTGAGGATGCTTCAGGTGAGAATCCTGATCCTCTGGGTGGTGGGACCTGCACCCATAGGTGCTTGGCTCATCCACCACACCACGTGCTTTGACACTGCCCTTGATGATACTTAAAATCAAGATTTAGGAGGTATTATTGCCTCTAGAAATGTAATTCAGATACAACTACAGCAAAGCCCTTCCTAAACTGTCCCAGTCACTAAAAATTGACCTCATGGACCCAGCACCAGCTGAGAACCACACCAAGCATCTCACCAAAGGTTTTCTCCCTCCTCGGTCACGGTAGCTGCATCCTGCCCAAGCAGCTACCCTGGGCACCAGCAGCAGCAAAATCCTCCTGGAGCCTCAAGCACTTTTTGTATTTTGATTTTTAATAAAAAACTTAGTTACTGAAAACAAGCACTACTCCTACTGCAATGGAAATTTAATTTTTTTTTAATGATACATCAAAGGTTTGTTTAACCACCGGCTTCTCAAACAGACAAAATACTCTGCCTTTCCTATTACCGTCCTGGTTACTATGGAGAAGCCACAAAAAGCCTGCTTGCTTTTATGCCTCGCTCGTTTTGCTCACAGTTTGGTTTCTTCTGCGTTCCCAGATGGAGAACTCCTGTCTGAGCACCCGCGAGTCGGTGAGGGGAGCAAGGAGAAAACCCTGCAAAGAGCTGGAGCCGAAAGGTTTGCACATTCAGTAATCCTGATGGCCAAGCCCACTGAAATGGAAGCATGCCGCCCCTCGCTGCTTTCCTACCACGTTATGAGAAGTGACTGCTTTCCCCGCTCTTACAAGGATTATTAAAACCAGAAATGGGAAAGGTAATCAAGTGAAACTACCAGCTAAGTGCTCGCGGAATTTATGAGCCCCACTGTACGGCACAAGAAAAATATAATTTATTTAATTTATTAGTTGCAAAGAAAGTCATTTACTTAGGTTAAAAATTGATCATCTTGCAAAACAAGCCACTTTTCAACACTAATTAAGTTTACCCAACATGGCTAGTGACTGAATTGTTACATTACATTAAAGTCAGCTTGATGGAGAGAGGAAGCCCATTTGCGCACATCCACAAACACATTTTGTGCCTCAAATTGGTTTCTGGCTGCCCCTGAGAAATTTGGAATTCCAGCTGAAAACCAACAAAATCTTGGCACAGGCAGTAGAATAACCGAGTTCGGGAATTTCACAAAGCTGGCTCATCTAAAAGCAAGACTTGAATAAGGAAATGAAGATGTTATTGCCATGCTTAGACACTGGAGAACACGCACCCACGCTGCTCATTAATTCATGAAGACTGAGACCTTGTCTGCCTTTTACATGCCACTAAATACGTTACAAATCAGGCTTGAGCTATCAGATAATTTTTTTTTGCTCCCAAATACATCCCTGTTCCTTAATTCAGCAAAACTCCCCAAGAGTTCAGGGAGGGCTGGGGCAGTGACAGGCAATGACTGCAACTCAGACCAAGGAGCCAAACCCATCACACGCACAGCGAAACCAAACCCCAAGCAGCTCTATCATATGGCTATCATAAAAAGTTGCTTAGACGCTGCAGAAATGTAAATTACTACATTTACACTTAAAAAGTCCGTTTGCCTTCAAGTACCAGTAAGCTCCTGCAGGCAGCTGGACAGCCAATCTTCCTGCTGAAGGAAAAAAGTTGAGACCTCACATCGGGACCAGAGCCAGAGATGGAAGCCTTAACTATGGGAAACCAGAGACTGGGATATCTAAAACTGGAAGCTTCTGCTCCATATCCTTCAAAGGCAATGCTGCACCTTACAAACGTTGTAAAACAATAAAATAAAACCCTTTATAAAATTACAAAAACATCCAGTCTCCCAACATTTTTGCTTCCACGAAGGAAAGCAGTGAGGTAACGGGGAAGGAGCTATTTACTCCTCCCACATCCCGACATCAGTGTTCAAACATTTCCCTTTGCTACACTAAATAATCTCCTGTGGTCTAAAACGTCACACCTGAAGGCGCTATTCACTGCTGAAAAATGTGCATTGCTGGTACCTGCAGGCGTGTATACATAAATTGCACACACAGCCAGGTGGATTTGCTCGTGCATTACACACGCCTACTTACACGCACAGTTATGCACGTATAACACTGTCTAGACACTTCCCGTACAGTTGACTTGCCACAGCTTCACTTTTGCTGATAACACAAAGTCAGATGCTGCAGCTCGAGGCCTGAAACCTTCCCTTCCCAGCACATATTTAATATACACCTTGAGTAACTCATGGCTTGAAGTAACAGAAGTTCAGCTGCGTGACTGCTGCACCTGGCTTCTGTGCTGGGAGCAAACGCGTGTGCTGTGCATATTGTTAGGAGAGCAATAAAATGAGAAAAGAAACAAAGCAAGAATTTCACAATAATCTACTCTACGCGTTTCTTGGTTTTTCATTGCATGCCTGTTATGAAAATGTAGAAGCAGAGAAGCCGCAGTGAGTCACCTGGTGTGGGGGCACGGCCACGGCACAGTCATCACCTCAAAACCAGCACAAACGCCTAAAGGAAAGGCAGGCTCTGAACAGGAGCACTGCAACAAGGAGTCACCGTGCTGACAGCACCACCAAGGGAACTGCTTCATCTGAGCCTGCAGTTTAACATCAACCCAAGATCAGTAACAACGTGCAGTTATTCTGCAAATAACAGAAGGAAGCACTCAAAATCATACGAGTTTCTTTATTAACATATACGTCTGAAAATTAGGGTTAGTGTTACTTTCTATCTGTCAGACCTACAAAGTCAATTAGAGGTGATACCACGGAAAGGCACTTGAAGATTTCCAGTAACTACACTACGCCTAGTTAATTAGGCGATATTTTACCCTACATCAAATCCATTTAACCATGATGAGATCGTGATTAAATAATATTTTTGGATGGTATCATGGTGTATGAAGAGTATTAACATGAAAAAAGAGGCAAGACGTGTAAAAATCAAAAGATCCCATCTGTGTAAAGCACACACACAGATTTCTGTGGAAGAAATAGCAGCTGACATGAGACCACGTATATTTATATCTTGCCATGAAACTCAACCATGCGCAATTTGCTTGATTGTCCTCATCCTGGAAGAGCTGCTGAAGAGGCGATTCATAAAATTGTTCTTTATCGTGATTTTTAGCTGAAGTTCTCCATTATGGGTACTTCACGCTGAAGGCACTGCGATTCCATTATCCCTGTGCAAGAGGTACAGAGGCATCCCCAGGTCTGCTGCCAGCAGGACCCCACAGCCTCGATGTTTCCTTGGCACCCATACGTTAAATGTGAACACCCTAAAAAATTTGGGCAGCACGTACTAACGTGTGCACACGTATTTTGCTTGATCATGGCTTTAATTATCTCAGTGCTGCACAGTGTGAGGAGTGCAGGAACTTCCCAGTATCAGACGTGGAGGGCACGGATCACTGTTAATACTTTGGTTTCTTTGGCAAAATTGTGTGTCAGAAGACTACGCTCCTCTGATGGAAGGCAATGAAATCCCCACAGGTCACTGCTCAAAATCACTCCTGTTGCCTTTAATCTTTCCCATCAATCTTCCGCCTGCCCCACTCCTTCACTCCAGCTCTCAGGACCCGCCTCGCTCCTCTTGTTTGCGGCTGTCTTTTATCCTCTGACCAGCACAGCAAGCCCCCGCGCTCCACGGGCTGCTCTAGAAGATAGGAGAAATCAATAAGTGTCGTGCATCCTTCTGCTCATCCTCCAACCAAGTTCTTGTGGCAGAAACTGCGAGAAGGTTTGAGTCCAATAATGAAATAACTACAGGTGACTCGCGTGTTTTCCTGGCCATCTCCCGAATTGTATTACCAACAGAGTTGCCAGAGGCAAGCTGAACAAACAAGATGCTTCCAGATGTCTGTGTTATTAAGCTTTAAGTCCATCCACACACGTTACCTTCTGTTTATTCCCATTTCCCTCTCCTTACACACCACCCGAGGCTTCCCCCCAGGCTGCCTGCCCTGCACTGCTCACCTCTCCTACGGTTCTTCTCCACTCAGGAATCACAACCTGGGGGAGCCACAGGTCCTCCCGCAGCTTGTTGCAAGGCAGCAGTCTCTCACTTAAAGCTTTTCTAACATTTTACTCCAAAACTTAAAAAATTTGACCTTCACCTCATCCACTTCTACTTGGAGGAGGATAAAATTCAGAAGCCAAGCACATTGGCCACACTGCAGCATAAGTGGCATGGATAGATGCATGCTTGGCCATTGCTCATAGCACCAATTTAAAAATCACAGGACGCCTTGCTCTTGACCCATCGCTGGTATTATAAAAAATGCCAAGTTTCCCTCTAAGGCGTATCCTAAAGTCTCACAGAAATCTATTTTCTTTTTTTTTTTTTTTTGACTCATTCCCTCCCAATAAGACCATTCACTGGAAAAGCACTGTTTGTTTATTGTATGCTTATTTTGCCTTATATATGCACAAAGCAAATGTTAGTTCACGTTGGATACAAAGATTTTTTTTTTTCAGTTTCCCGACTATTTGTATTCTGTCAGTGCATCAATTTCTCAGGCTCACTGAGAAAAAAGAACAAAACCAAGAAGCCAGCTCGTTGTGTTTGCCTCAAAAAAGAACAGTTTTCGATCATTTTATTTTTGGTTGCAAGAGGAATAGACAAAGGGCTTCTGCAATTAAGCTCAATGAGCATTATTTCGTTATTCCTGAATTCTGCTCTTAGTATAAATCGTGCGGCTTGCACCAAAGCACACAACTACCACTGCAGGAGGTTTCGGCGTGATGGATTACAGGGACAGCACGGTGTCATCGCAGCAGTACCTGTGTCAGCACCACCACGAACGTTCCCTTTTCTTTAGGGTATGTTTTGTGCGTTTGAACCTTACAAATGAAGTTTCTTTCTTGAAAAACATTTCGCAAGCTGCATGGAAACATGGCCCAATAATGTAGGACAGAGCAACCACAGCCTTTCACCTGCCCCACTCGCTGCCAGGTGGCTGGCACAGGTACAACCTAAAACGCCACGATTATTGCCAGGTCTTCCCCTAACTTCCATATTCCAGCTTGCTCTCAGTGTTACTTGGAGGTATTTGTGCCTTAGAGGAATGGGCTTTATTCAGCTCCACCAGGAGAAGCGTTTAACTCTGCAAACACCACAGGGTAAATATGCAAAACGTGAAAATCCGAGTGCTCCGTTAATGGGGACTGGGAGAGAAGGAGGGACAGCAATTTTCAGGGACAGATGTTTCTAGAGGGAGGCTATCAATAGCTGCACACAGATCCCTGCTGTCATCTAGTGCAATGCACCACGGAAAGCAGCTGCAGGGAAACGAGGGGCTGGATTCCTGAGACGTTTTGAGAGTGTCCAATTTCTGAGCATTGATGGTGTTCCGTAAAACTTGCTGTATGCTTGAAAGATACGGAGCAAAAAGGGAAAAAGTGTTAAAGCCATTTAGCCGTAATGAAGTTTGTGTTAGTGCAGGTGTTTTCTATTTTTTATTTTTTTTTAAATTCTCCTCAAGGTGTAACGTGTGTTTGACTCAGGGCTACTTGACTTGATTGAGGAGGCAGCACTGGCACCGGGATCAGCATTCCTCTGTCACACCTACATCAGCATAAGCGTCCTGCTGGAAACTGTTGAGGTTGCACGGTGCCTTTTCACATTTTTTTCTCCCCAAGACATTTCATTTATGTTTTCCTGACTGGATGTCTTAGAACCTCATATATTACGAGGGTAAGAGTGTTCCCACACAGCACAAGTGCGAGGCTGGAGCCAAACGGGGCCATTAGGGCAGAACTGCAGCCACACTGGGGGGATGGACATTGTTAGAGATCAGTTCTGAGCTGCTTCACGAAGGGAAATAACTGGTGGAGGGACCCTCTTCCTGGCTCCACACATCCCCTTCTCGTGGCTAAAGGGTCATGGAAATCCAGGCAATAAGAGAATTGCAGCACGCAAATGAGTGCAGGAGGCAAAAGCCCCAGAAGGAGCCTGCAGCGATGGTTCAGCAGCGTCCCAGCTGCCACCCTCACTCCGACTCCTTCCTCTCCACTGCTCTATGATGAAAACACGAGGAAAAAGCGAGCTGATGTTCCCCAGGGCTTCGAAGTGGCTGGCCAGCACAGTGTAACAAAGCCCAGCTGCTGTCTACAAGCCCGCTGTGGTCTCCAAGGGCACGGCAGATGGCCTGCAGATGATCCATACTCAGAGTATTTTGCATCTTCTCAAAGTAAGGCTTTACCCAAAGTTTTCCCTGTGCGCATGCTGGAAGGCTCTATGGGGTGATTTCCTTCTAGGTAAGGGGAGGATGCAGCGTACCACATCCAGGGAGCCCCGTCCTCAGGGAAACTTTTCTGCTGGAATGGCTTCAGAGAAGGTCAGTGGGACAGTTTGGATAAATCAGCGAGCATTTTCTACTCACCACCTGTGCTGGCACAAGAAAAGCAAGCAGGGCAGCACCAAGGGACTCCCACCACAAGCCCCCATACCCTGGCACCAACTTGACCATGTTCCCGTTTCAGCAGCTTCAAGGAAACTTGAACACTCTCATGGAAGCATTTCAAAAAGAAATCTGCACACGTACATACAGATAGATTTTACAGTGAATAATCCACATGTGTACATAGATATATTATACAGTGAATAACCACTGCAGACCCCCAGCAGCTGGACCCACACACCACTCAACCTTGCCTCCGCCAGCTCTGGCTCGTACACAGCTGAAATGGTTTTCTCAGCTGCTCTAAAACCCAAGAGAAACCTCGAGCACCCAAGAGCACAGACCCACCCTCGTCCACACATCCTCCAAGCTCGCAGCGAGATCTTTCCTCTTCACCCTCTGTGCCAGGAGCCTCGCTGCCAAAACCCTGCATGGAACAAAATTAAATTTGCCGCACAAATGGGAGCCGTGGGAGCGCTGCCCGACTGCCTGCACCGAGCGGGGATGCTCAGAGGACGAGGGCATCGCAGGCCTGGTGCACATCACCGCCAGCACGGGTGGGATGCAGCCGCCCAGCAGCAGGACGTGCAGGCTGCGAGCCAGGGCTGCACGGAGCCAGCCAGCTCCTGCCAAACGCCTCAGTGCTTGAAATCCCTCCCAGCTTTCCGAGCCCAAAGGGAAGCTTTCTGAACTAGCCAGTTGCCAGAAAGAAGGGCGAACTGAAAAATCAGGACTGCCTTTACAATTAGTGAGAACAAGGGATGTCTTCATTTTTTTTTTCTTTTAAATGAATTATTGAACATTTCTCAGATAAGGTTTATAAAAGCTACCAGGAACAAACCACACTCAATTTCAATTGATAACAAAACAAACCCAAAACGACATCTGCCAGCAGGAGAGCCACAAAAGACAAACACAGGCATTTCATTGAGATTGCAAACAAAGCTCAGATGAACACGTTACTGCCCACGCCGGGGATGTGCTTAGCAGCTCACCGGCTGCACAAATCCTGCTGGCGGTGGGCTGAGGACGTTCCTAGGGGGAAATTCAGACGTGGTATCCAGATGTGGGTACTGCCAGGCAGAGCCAGCCAGCTTCGATCGGGATGTCACCAAAACACGCACACACAGACCAGGACACGGTCCCCAACCTCCCCAGCTACAGACGTTGCTCTGGCAACTCCCTGTCCTCAAGTGCAGGAGCCAGCAGTGCCTTCAAGCCTTAATTCGGGGCTGGTCAGCATGAGTGAGCAGTAAATGCTCCTTGAGCTCAAAGCCAGCCTGAAACATTGCCACGGCACAGCCCGAATCGATAGCCATTTGCATTCCCCTTCCCGTTCTGTTATCTTTAATGAAGTTCTTTTCCCAGCCCAAGAAATACGGAGAGAAACTCTTTTCTAAGCAACACCACGCGGCTGTTCCGCACCTAATGCTAATTCTTGCAGCTCTCCTACTGGTTTCATTCCCTGCTTATGTCTGTGCTGTTGTTGTATTCCAGCACTCCTCTATTTTGCGTACAGACCTTTTTATTTCACTGCCTGCTCCATTCAGGGCCGGTGTTAATTCACAGAAACCATCTCTTTTGGGACAAAACCTTGACATTTTGGCCACTCATTAAATGCTTCTCAGACCAAACAGCGTGTAGTTAATAAGAAGTCTTTCAAGGCTTCGTCCCCGAGGCACGGCTGTTACTCAGCCCTCCTTCCAAGGGATTTTACTTTCTCATCAATACAGGAAATTACCCCAAGGCTGTACTTGAGGATTTCTCTCTTTCTTGAGATAGTTTGATGCCCACAGAGTGCTAACTGTGCTACCAGATCTCTTCTCCCTCTTCTCAAAATAAAGGTACCCATTACCCCTGCCAGTGCTGCCACATCACCCACTGCCAGCATCCCTGTCTCAGGCAGTGGGCTGCTATTCACCCCATTTCCCTACAAATTGAAAATAACTTGAAGTTTCTGGAAATTTTTCTCTGAAGTCCTCACCCTATTCCAGCATCATTCTGATACTCATTTGTCTGTCAGCCATACACATTTATATCCATAACTTCAAACTTGTTCTGACAGATCAGATATAAAAAAACCTGTACAAAGTGGATAGAAACGTGCATCAAAATCTTAAGCTCCTAACTTAAACAAGGGACATCTTTTGTAACCTCATTTACCCTCCAGCAGTTACTCCCCCACCTGCTTGTCCTACAGAGAAGGACAGAAGAATTAATGCCATTTCTGATGGACTGCTGGCCTTTTACTCTCCCCACCTTCGCTTCCATGCCAAAGGAAGCCACGTAGCAAGCACCTACCTGATGGAGCAGTTACAGCCCACTGAAAGGATAACACAATCAAATAAAGCCCACTAAAACGTTATTTTGAAAGTGAAAAGCTTTTAAGCTCCACGTACTGTTAGAACTGACTCAGAGGGCATCCACACAGAACGTTAACACTGAAACGCCACCGTTAGCTACTTTATTTTTTCATTCTGAGGACTAGGAAAGTCACCCCTTCCTCAGGCTGAGACACAGCATAGAATAATCCAGAAAAAGGTAAAAATATATAAAAAATGCCAGTAACAAATTAAGGGTTTCTGCAGTGAGTGCTTCTTGTTTCAAATGTCTTGAACTTAATGTGAAACTTGTTAATCTGCACAGCTGGGGGATCTGGGCTGGGAAATATTACAACTATTGAAGAGCTGGACTCAGTGATGTGAGATGCGACCATCTCCCTAAATCTCCATCCCTCCTCCATCTGCAAATAGCAGCAATGCAAATAACAGCAAAAAGAGGAGCCCCTCAGCTGTCTGACCCTCGTGGGGGTCCCTGCGAGGCATCACCCCACAGCCCAGGGGCAGAGCACGGCCCCCCCAAAAGCTGTGCTCCATGCACAGCACCAGGGAGCTCAGCGGGGATGCCCAGTGGCACAGGAGCAATGCTCGTTCATTCATCCACCTGGGGAAAGCGTGCCAAAAGCTGAACCTGACTTGGTCTGTATAAGATAGGAGTACGTGTATTCGCTGCCCTCCCTTTGAAAGTGCTCTGCACAAAGAATAAAAACAACCACAACTGATAAAATCAACAAAACATCGCTTCTCCTCCACAGCAAAGGCACCGAATGGAAACAGGGTCACGCTTAATAGTGGAAGAGGAAAAGCTTGGGATAAAAGGCAGAAATAAGCCACAATCATCAGTTATCAACATCAGAGTATATTGGGCTAAAGCAGCATTAGCAGACTTCTTATTCTTTTAAGATGGGTAATGGAATAAAATCTATTTCAGTGCAGGGCACATCTCCCCTGTTAAGCTGATCCACACCAATACAATAGAGGCCTGACCACACAAATTGGGCAAAACAAGGCGTGCTGAGATGCCCGCGAGGCCAGGCAGTGTATTTCTGCACGTAGGTCAGATCAGGGCCACGAAACCCACAGAAAACCAGGGCTGCCAGGTTATAGCAGGCAAAGGATGCCCAGCATGGAGCACACCGTGCAAAAGGACAGGCCTTGCATTCAAATCTGAGGCTGGAATTAGGCTTTCCCATCACTTTTCAGTTCAAATTAATCCCCCTTTTGTTTTTTCACCCTTTAAAAAAAAAATAAATACTACATTGTTCATTTTCAAATTGAGGGGCAAAGCAAGCAGCTCCCTGGGCTTCCCTCCCAGCCCCTGCCATTGCAGCTTGCTCCTTTGGATGAGCACGAACAGCTCCCAGACAGCTTTGGAGACAAGACGCAGAGATGAATTGGATCAAAAAAGGCAAGAAGAGGGGCAATGTTTTGCACAGTACCTTGGGAGTACTGACCAGCACAGAAAAAAGAAATGAGAGTCACTACATTGGGCTCCACGGCGAGAACAAGTGCACAGAAACAACAGCTTTTACTGATTTACCTGAAGTTACAGCTATCTCCAGCGCTACTTTTAGCAATGTCAATACAAAAACAGTCTTGCCAGTTTATCTATGAGAAGGAAAAGGTCTGAGAAGCTAAAATAATCTCAAAAAAATGAGATTTTCAAAAGGGCTGTATATTAATCACAAAAGGAGCAGAGCTAAGCAAACGCTGCCCACCCCGTGCTGAAGATGGCCCTTTTTCCCTGCACCAACAGAGCTCAAACGATGACTGGATCGGGCAAATGCAAAGGCCTGGGGGTAAGTTCACTTTAAAAAACCCTTTGCTTTAGAGAGAAAAATCGTGCTTGGTCACCACCAGTGCAGTCCTCGCATCATGCCCATTGCTCCTGGACAGGCAGAGCTGGCCTCAGCTCGCCACCCACCCCCTGCGCTGCCCCACGGGGAGGGGAGGAATTGCTTCAACCCATCCTAACGGGCCAACACCCCCAGAAGGCAACATCCAGCTGCTATCGTGTGCTGGTGGCAAACAGGATTACCGGCAGCGCTGAAAAGTGAAGTCCTCAGCTCAACACCGCACTGGGGACGGCAGCTGCTTTCCAGCCCCGCACTGCAAATGCCACCTTGCCGCAGCTTTCTGTGCTAATGGGGCCGATTTTCTCTATAGGGAAGAAAAAAGCAGGGAGAAAATTCAATTTTTAGGCTTCTGAGTTCCCTGTCGATGCACATGTGCTCCACCGCCCCGCTCCCATTAACACCCAGCATGGGGAGGTTGGAACAACTTCACGGCTGCTACAAGCTGGGATCATCCACCAGGCAGAGCAAATGTTTAAAAAAAAGTTTATTTCATTTGAAGGTTTTCTGCACTAAATAATACAGCACGGATTTGACTTAAAAACCTGTATTTCAACAGAAATATTTGTTGCCAGCCGAAGGACAGAGCAGAGCCCCCGTTGCCGCTCGTAATCCTCCCCGACACCAACGGGAGCTGCATGTGCAGAGCAGGTCCCTGCGAGGGTCCTGGGGGTGATTTACTGACTCCAGCACGACCGAGACTAAATGGCTGCCTCCAGGTCAGTCAGGTGGAAGAACAAGCAGTGCTCATTCCGGGGGAAAAAAGGTCTGAAAGAGTCAATGAAAAGAAATCCCTCCAGGTGCCGCCATGACATGGAGTGAATGAGCAGCTTGTAAAGAGGGGAAAAGGGAAAAGCCTGGCAGAAAAAGGGAGATAAACAAACTGTTCTCAGTGTGAGATGGCAGAAGAAAAACCCAAAATGAAATCAAGTTTCTCAAAAGTTCACATTAAAGTTGGAACTGTCTCAACAGCACCCACCTCGGTGGATAAAATGCACAAAAACTAAAAACCACAAGCCCTCTCCCTGCATAAATGCCCTTCCATTAGGAGCAGGGCTCGGTTTTCCAGGAACAGAGTTTGTGGGGGTGGAAAAAAGATCATTTCTCTTCTTTAGCACCCTGAAAATCCAAGGCAGGTCCCCTGTCAGAAGCTCAATAGTCCCGAGCTGGCACGGGCAGGTTTGTGGGGTGCTGCAGAGGGGGCTCCATGAGGCTGCAGAAGCCACCCTGAGCTGTGC